ACATCGACTGACAAATAGCCTGACTCGCAGTGGAGTGCTGCAACATCGACTGAGGGTTTGGGATGGGGAAGCAATCGTTTTATTCATAATTCTTCGTTTTTTCTTCTTTTTCGAAAAAAATAGTATAGCTTATGGTAAGCAGAAAAAGTAAGCAAATGCTTATCAAAACACGCTTTAGTAAGTGTGTATATATATATATATATATATATATATATATATATATATATATACACACGCATGTATATTAAATGAAGTTACTAGCATTTTTGTTGCTTTTTCCGTGCATTAATTGGACACCATTATCACGTTGAACCTTTACAAGTATCTTAAAATTACTATGTGACATAGCAGGATGCAATGCGATTTCATATGCAGTGCGCATTAACTTTAAAAATGCTTCAAAAGTTGATGCTTTTTTTGAGTTATCGGTATCCCTTATTGAACTCTGAGATTCATTTATTTTAAATATAGAAGGAGAGTTACTAACTTCCAATCGTGCAGCCTCTTTATGTGGTTTTGTTGATAAATGCCTCATATCCTGTAATATAGGCATAATAAGTAAGATTACATCGTAATGCATAGTTATATATTTTTTACCTTTATAATGTACTATATATTATAAATTTTAAACCTGATGATGTGTTACAACATTTGTTATATTTGTAAAGGCATTTAAAGAATTTCGAGCAACCCCCAATATTGAAGTGTAAATGCTGTATTTATGTTTAGCACACAGTTTGCACTAGATTTTAACTACAGTGTCTAAATCATTCAATTTTATAACTTCTTGACCAAGAAAATCATATTTCCATGGTTGAACAGTTTTTAGTGATTTTGTTATAGGTTTTGTGATACTCATTTCTTCTCTCTCTCTCGACTTATTCTAACCTGATTATACTGAGTCAAGGCTCGCCTTTTATTACGTTGAAATTATTCAATTGCATAATTTTGTAATTACGAAAGAACTTTAAAAAATAATTGCATAATCATTGTTAATTGCATAATAATTGCGTAATCATTGTTACGAAAACAGTTCCCTCAGGACATTTATTTTTAACACTCATTCACAATGTTCACAGAATACTTTCCTTAAAGTTTTTTCAGATAAGACATATCATACCTTGCTGACCTATTATCAAATAATTTCAAATTCTAAGGATACTGCAATATTTATAAATAAAGTAATAATCTGGTGGAAAATATTGAATGTGAAAGATTGTGGAACTGATGAAGGCACAATGATCCACTAGAAGCACCTATTTGTAGTCCTGATAATTGCTGTCTTTATGCTCTACTTCAGTTTAGTGATGTAGCTCTTGAAATGTGTTGTAAAAATGGCAAAAGAGTAGGGGTGTTCAAATAATAGGAAAAAATACTCAAGTAAGGAAAATAATAGTCTCATTGATGAATTGGAAAGAATATAGAAAAGTCAAGGAAAACTCAGGGAATTTAAAAAACTAAGCTGAGGGAAAAATGTACTTTACTCAGAGAATACACAGAAAAAACTCAAGGAAAAATTTTTAAAATTACAATGGCTTTATCACATTTATCACCATTAAAATTATACCCTACTTAAGTACTTAAGTTACTTGAAACTACAAAAGAGTTTTGTAGGCCTGTTATAGGGCTAGAGTATTTTTTTACAAAAGAAAAATTGCATCGCTGTTGTTATCTTTATATATCAACCTAGATTCTTTTGAGTTTAGTTCAGGTCATGAGTATGCTTCTTACACATATGTTTTATGTGAAGCAAGTAATGAAATATTTGACAATTTAGAAAAACTAGAGTCATCATTTTCTGATACTACCATGACCAAAATTTCTTTGGTTTATATTGCTGGTTATGTATTTAGAAATGAATATAATGAAAACAATTTGTTCAATAAAACATTACTTTATTATGAAAAGTTTGGTGACTACCTTACCTGATGGTGACTACCTTAAGTCTATAGATCATGGTGGTCTTAAAATGTATTCCAGACAATGTATTCTAATGTTTGTTTTTTTTGCTTTGTCTTATTACATTCGATAGAAGATAAAGTTTGTTGCAAGTCCTTAAGTGACATTTTTTTGCTAGTTTCTGAATTTTACTATTTTGAAATTATTCAAAAGCATTGCAACACACTTGCTAACATTTTTTGTGCACAAATTAAAAGTTTAAAATTTATTTAAAATTTTTTTTTTTTTTTAATGGAATTTTTATTTTTTATTAAATCTTAATATAAATTTTTTTCAATAAATTAATTGAACTCATTAATAGTCCCGTTTTGACTCTAAAACATAATTTTAAAGCAGAGTTAAAAATCCGTAAAATTTCATCGCGCAACCATAAGCCCCAGTCACAGCTTACAGTTGTGCGATGAATAGGCCTTCAGTATAGATTGCCTTCTTAAATAGCAAATGTAAATACAATAAACAAATAAAAATAATATAGCCTAATAATTGTTAAAGGAATCCACTATATTTAAAAATTACCACTCTGCTACTATCACTTCTATATTTAGAAAATATGGCATGTACATGTAGGTGTTGTAATGTTTATCAAACTAGTTCTTGTGTAGCCCAACAAAACCTATATGTTTGAAATATATATGGTTACAAAACCTATATGTTTATTTTTTGCAGAAAGAGGTATTTAGGTAGAGAATAGAATCAAGTGTAAGAAATTGGCAAGTATGGTAGCAGATGCTGACTTTGCAATTGATTGAGTATATGGTTTTATAAAAAATTAGTTGTAAAAGGTGATCTTAGAAGGGAAACAAAGAATGGTGACTTCAGAAAGGAGTATATATCATCAGCAAATAGAGCCACTTTAGAATTAAGATGGTCATTAATATATATGAAAAATAACATTGGACTAAAGATGAAATTTTGTAATTCCCCAAAATAGTACTGGAAATAAAAATAAAACTTGTCTATCAGAATGACTTTCATTTTGCAAGATGTTAAAAATAAACCACAATCATTTATCTTGTAGTTCTTTTACATTAAATATAGAAGAAATACAAGGTTAATGTTTACTAAAAATGAATATCAATATTGTTTGTAAATGCTTTGAAACAAGTATTTGGAAAACATAGATTTGAACATTATATGGGTAATAATAGTTTTTAATGTTTAGTATTTTTTGATTGTTAGATGTATATTTAAGAATGCTAACTTTTTAAATGTAAAGATTTTAAAATGGTAGCGAAAGGAAAATAAAAAGATTTTAATAACTATGATTTGAAGCATTTTTTTGATAAGAAAATTATTAAAAGTATTAAGAAATACAATTTTTTTATTAACTTATAGACTTTTGGTTAGTCTTAAACAATGTCATTAGTTAAAGTAAGTCTAACATTTAATCTCTAATTCATGGGTCTTGATTTTTTTCCTTCTCCTTAGAATAAAGCAGAGTTATTTGCAAAGAAATCTTAGTCTAATTTGACTCTTGAATATAATGGCCACACTCTTCCTGATAGTTAAACAGATAAATTCATTGTTAAACATCGAAATCACTCTGGTTTTCAATGCTAAAGTTAATTCTCAATTAAAGACTTTGTGCTCCAGATTAGGTTTCCATCATAGTCTTAAAAAAGTGTCCAGAACTCTCTTCAATTTTTACTAAACTTTTAAAAAGTGCTAAATAAGTGGTTCCAATTTTTCAAAACTCTAGAAAATACTTTGACCTTTCCAACAATCCTACGATTATATCTTCACTCAGTTTCTTTATATAAAGGTTTAAGGTTATTAAACTATTTCTTTCCAACTGAAGTAGTAAAGTTATTCTTAAAGGCCTACACTCTTTTTTATTTCAAGTAACTTTAAAGGTACCACAAGGTTCTTATCTTTGCTCCTGTATTGTTTCTTATTTACAATAATGATTTGATGGCGACTCAACTTTATACTCTTGTCTTGACTAAAAATCTTCACTTTTTAATTGCTTAGAACAAGCAGCCGATTTTAAATATGGTCTCTCTTCTGTAACAGTCTAAAGCCTGCAGTTTATTCAACAAGTTGCATCCTTTACTGTATCTGTCCCTTCATGCTAAAAAAACTTTTATTAATCCAGTTTTTTTACTTGATCATCAAAAAGAAAACCTGTAACTCTTACCCATCTTCATGTTTTGCTTTTTTATACAACTTACAACTTTTTAAGTCTTCAGTTATACGTTTCCTAGTATTTTAACTTGTTCTCTATTTTAAAGTAACTCAAAACTTAATAGTGGTTGCTTGCAATCTTGTTGGAAATTAATTAAAGTTTAAAAATATAAAAGTGTATGCCAGTATTTAATAAATAGTAAATGTAAGCATAAAATTATTATATATTAAGTATTAAAATTTTTTTTCTAACCTGGCTTTCAACCCCCGCTAGATCTTATTATTTTGCTGGGGCTCGGATCAGGTTTGCAAAAAGTCTAATTTTTAGCCGGGGCAGGGGCCCCGATCACTTACTATACTCCTGTTGGTGGAATCAGCTTTTCTAAAAGCTACCATCGAATTTGGAAAACTTTACTACCAGTTTATCTCAAAATTATTGAATCGACTACTAGAGCTGCTCCCTAAGAAAAAGCAGAAGAGAGTTGCTATTAACAATGAGACACAAGCAAAAATTAATGAGTAGAGTTGAGATGATCCGCAGTTATCACCTTTTTGTAATGATCCAGCACTTTTCGTCCTAGACATAAAACAATATTCTCAAAGAATATAAAAGCCTAAACTCTAAAATGTTTTTTACTCAGGAAAAACTCAGAGCTTATCTAGTTGCTAAATACCTAAAAGGAAAAATCATAATACTAAAAATTAGTAAATATTTTATTTAATAAAGAAAAGTTTAAATTATTAATTTAAATTTTTTCGATCAAATATTTTCAATTTAAATTTTGGTATTACACTTTTATTATTTATTTTTTCATTTTGAGGTAAAGTATTTTAACATGAGATGATTATATATAAATTGTTTTTTTATTTATCAATTTTTTAAATTTTTTTATTATTCATAAAAATGTTTATTTTAGCTGTAGACTTGTTAAAAGTTGATGGGCATATGTTAATCAGAGATAACTTGATTACATCCATACAGTTTCTTGAAAAAGAATATTCAGTTTTTTTAAAACTTAAACTATTAAAGTTGTCTTACCAAAGTTGGACAAATGTAATACATTTGACTACTGGAGGTGATAACGGAAAATATGGATTCAGAACCCCTGCTATATTTATTAGTCCAAACAGTCCAGATAAATTACAAATTGCTTCTGCAATTAATGGAAGTTTTAACTATGTCTTCTATACCCAATCACTACCACTGAATGAGTGGTCAAGCATAAAAGTATCGCAAACTCAACTCAATGAAAAGTATATATACACTGTCTATTTAAACGAATTATTGATTTTTAGCATTGAAAACACAATGCCACAATCTTTTTCTAATGTTTTGGTGTATGCAGCAGATCCATGGAATACTGCACAGGATGGTTTAATCAAAGATTTCAAAATTACAACTGGAAATAATAGTGAGAATTTTTTTTTTTAATTGATATTTTAAATTGATATTTTGTAAAAATTTCAATCATAAATTTTTTATTTTGAAATAATTTCTATTAATAATGACTAGCATTTTTTATAAATTTGCAGGAACAAATTGTACAAAAGGTTGAATAATTACAGTTACAACTTTAAAAGTTTTTTCTTCAAACTATAGCATAATATTATAAGGTTTCAAATTATCAAACGGCTAACTTTTTGTGCAAACTCCAGATATAGTCTAATATATACAGTGCCTTTTAATACAAATGTGTATTTAAAAATTATGTACATGTTATATGGTTTGTTTGCTGCTGCATTGTAATGCTAAGCATATTTGAAATTCTGGGAGATTAGATCTAAGACTTTTTTTGGAATTAGTGATTTCTTAAATTACTCTGTTGGCTGTGTGGTTTCTTCCAAAATATAGTCATACCTTATTGGTCTAAATTTAACTTGCATGACCTTACTCTTTTTCCATTAACTCCATAAGCCAGGTTTAGGTCCATTTATATTTGCTTTTTCTTTATCGTTTTCGACAACTTTTAAGAGCTTTGTATCATCTGTGCACAAATCTTGTATACATCTTCAAAATAATTTTTAATGAATTGGTAGGTTAAACATTCTATTAATCATGCAAACAAATCTATTAAATATCAAAGCATTAGCATGCAAAATCATTTTACCACCTGATCTAAAGTCTCTTAACTCCATCTTTAAATTCCATCAATTTTTAGTTCCTCTGGTTTACAGTATTGTGTTTTTAAAATTTTTTATTTTGTTAGTTTTAATATTTTGATATTTTATCTGTTTATTAATTTATTTTGAGTTTTAATTGTTCTATTTATTCTGTACCTTATACTAAATTTTTGCTTCTATATATGCATATATATGTATATATGTATAATTTATATATATATATATATATATATATATATATATATATATATATATATATATATATATATATATATATTTGTATATATATATATATATATATATATATATATATATATATATATTTATATTTATATATATTTATATATATATACATATATATATATACATAAATATATATACATATATCTATACATATACATATATATACACACATATTTATATATATATATATATATATATATATATATATATATATATATATATATATATATATATATATATATATATATATATTTATATATATATATATATATATTTATATATATATATCTACATATATATATATATATATATATATATATATATATATATATATATATATATATATATATATATATATATATATATATATATTTATGTGTATATATATATATATCTACATATATATACACACATATATATATATATATATATATATATATATATATATATATATATGTATATATATATATATATATATATATATATATATATATATATATATATATACACACACACACATATATATTTCACCTTTTTTTGTGTTCACCTTTTTGTAGTTACCCTCTGGTAGTTCTAGCATTTTTAAAGTGTGGTATTTCTTAACTTTCTTGGTGATTCTGGTCTTAATAGTTTGCTCCGTCACAATGGAAATATCGATAAACTCAGCCAGCTCCCATGAATTGACAAGCTCTCTCAGAATACAAACACCAGTAATTATCTGCTTGGTGTTCTCTCTGCACACTCTATCAGCAAACCTGGAGCATCTTAAATATGTCTTCACAGAACCAACTGGACAACCAATTTTGATGCTGATCTGTGTGGTGCTAAAAAATAAAAAAAAACATTAAAAAGTTAACATTAAACATGTAAAAAATATAATGCTTTTGTCAATTAATTTCAGATTTTTCTATTGTTTTTTTTGAGATTAAGCCAGTAATGCTCTCTGAGCATTTCTCCATTTGTTGGAGAAATGCTCAGAGGACATTACAGTCTATTAGGGGCAAAACTCTGTAAATGGAACCCTAGCAAATAAAAATATCCTCCTCCTTGTAGCTTTTGATGCATCATCAATATCTGTTCTCAGTGAATTAACATGACAATTTATGTCTAGAGACGTTTTCTAAAATCAATTTATTTCATTTAAAAAATCTGCATTAGACCCTTTTAGTTGTAGTTGATTGAATCAGGATTATGATATACAACTAATAATGAAAAAATAGTGAAAATTGTAAATATGTTTTATATACAAGTTCAAATCTGTGTTTTAGATGAATTTCTTGGTTAAAAACAACTTTTAACTTGAATTCTACTTTAATTATATATTGACTTAAGTTAAATTTTTTTTAACAACTAAAAACTAATGATGTGTAAATTTAACTTAAGTCAATATATAATTAAAGTAGAATTCAAGTTAAAAGTTGTTTTTAACCAAGAAATTCATCTAAAACACAGATTTGAACTTGTATATAAAACATATTTACAAGTTTCACTATTTTTTCATTATTAGTTGTATATCATAATCCTGATTCAATCAACTACAAGTAAAAGGGTCTAATGCAGATTTTTTAAATGAAATAAATTGATTTTAGAAAACGTCTCTAGACATAAATTGTCATGTTAATTCACTGAGAACAGATATTGATGGTTCTGTGAAGACATATTTAAGATGCTCCAGGTTTGCTGATAGAGTGTGCAGAGAGAACACCAAGCAGATAATTACTGGTGTTTGTATTCTGAGAGAGCATCATTTATCTTATTGTTAGCCATGCTTTATTTATTATAAAGTATTATATAAAAGTAAATTCACCTAAATAACCTTCCCCTTGAGCTAAAAGTTTAATTTAATTTTTTTGGTTTTTCTTTATAAATAAAATTATGCTAAACGTAGTAATCCGCACATTAAAATTCGATTTATAATATATTTTTGGGACACCCTAATACCCAGTGGCATAGCAAGGATTATCCCTGAAAGTTAAACATAAATCTAGCTACAGTAAAAATATCAGATTTATAATTTAGTATATAGTTAATTATTTTTTGTTCCTTAAACATAGTTTTAAAAGTAGAAACATTCGACTGCAAAAATTAAACCAGTGATTATTGGAATTGTTAAACTAAAAATTAAATTATAAAAAATTTAAATTAAAAAAAAAAAAATTATTTTACTTCTATTTAAAGAGATTTTTTTCTTAAAAAATATTTCAAGCGTAATACTTAAGCGAATTTGATTTATTAGACCAAATTTTTTTTTTTGTTCAACTTAAGCAAATATAGCTTGATTTATTAGACAAATTTTTTTTCTTTTACTTTTTGTTGCAAAACAATTTAAATGAAAAAATTTAATAAAAATGTCAACTTGAGAACAATTTAAATGAAAAACCTAATTATACTTAAATTTTTAATAGGGCGCTAGATCAAGAAACAATAAATTATAAAAAGTGTAGGATTTCATGAACTTTTGCCTTTCTTACTCGTTTGGTCTGCAGTGTTAAAAAAATAGCGCGTTTTTTACGGAAAAGTTTTTAGGCAAAGGCTAGGAGATGCAAACTCCGACATAAAACACCCCCTGCGTTGGGGCTCTTGGTTGAGTAAAGGCTAGAGATGGTGTCTCGATAAAAATACTCATCTTGGGCAGATGATACATGCATCCGGCTGCTGTCTTGTAGAAGGCCTCCTAGGCAAAGACTTAAGGGGTAAACAGATTCTATCTGTTGACCAGCCTCGCAACCCTTCGTCATCTATTAGGCTGGCGCAGATGTATTTTTAATACATTGTTTCCAGTTTAGGATGTTGAACGCTGGATCTCCTTGACTCGATTCATGGGTTTTGCTTGTGTCTCTGTTTTTATGACTAGGCAACTTATTCTATCATCTCCAAATGAGGGTACAGCTCTAAAACTCAGTTTTATGGTTCTGAGGCCGGCTGGTAGTCAGGTTTCCCGAACTCTGTGGTAGATCTCAGAGAGGCTGATTCCATCAACAGCTGAAAAATATCAGAGTACTAACAGTGCCATGTTGCGCATGGATGGTGTCCCTGTTTGTACTTTTAATGTGCATTGCCAAGACCACATTGGAGCCCTTTGTTACGGCTTAGGGTTTATTAGTGGAAATGAGGCAATTGCTTGAGCTATAGAACAGTGTACTGAGTACTATCAATGTTTCGAGTCAAGTTCTTTAACAAATTTAAAAATGAATAAAGTAACAAAAACTATAAAACACAAAAAACCACAGTCATCACCAAGTTCGCTAAACCTTTCATTCACCAATATTCGTGGTCTTCGAAGTAACTTTTCTTCTGTTGAGTCTTATCTCTTGCAAAGTTCACCAGACCTGCTTGCTCTTTGTGAGACTAATTTGACTTCAGCTGTCTCATCTTGTGATCTTAGTGTTGATGGTTATCTTCCTTTAATTCGTAAAGACTCCAATAGTTACATGCTTGGCTGGGCATTTACATTCGTAAGAATTCACCCATTTGTCGGGAAACTAGGTTTGAATCCACAGACTACTCTTTTATGTGCTTTCGTTTAGCACCACTTCACTCTATCACCTTTCTCTTTGTTCTATATCGCTCTCCCTCATCCCAAGACTGCACTCTTCTTGATGTTATTTCTGATTATATTGACCAAGCCCTCATTCTTTATCCATCAGCCAATATTGTTGTTGTCGGTGACTTTAATGTTCATCACACTGAATGGCTTGGCTCTAGTTTCAGTGACTCTGCAGGCATTAAGGCCCACAACTTTTGTCTTTCTCAATCCCTAACTGAAATAGTAAACTTACCAACTCGCTTTCCAGACAACCCGAATCATTTACCTTCTCTACTCGACTTATGTCTTGTTTCTGATCCTAGTCAGTGCTCAGTTTCTTCACACTCACCCTTAGGTGCGTCTGATCATGGTTTGGTCTCTCTAAAACTATTATCTCATTCTTCTTCACCATTAGAATCCCCCTATCATCGTACATCTTACAACTACCTTAAAGCTGACTGGGACTCTTTTCGTGACTTTCTTCGTGATGGCCCCTGGGTAGAAATCTTTTGTCTTCCTGTT